ATAGATATAAAGTTTTAAGGGGTTGAATGTAGAACCTACTGTCTTATTTATGAGGAATCAGGAAGACTCATTTGAGTACTGATTCTGAACAAGCCAAATATGTATTAAACATCTATGGGGGCTGAGCCCCCCTTAAATGAAAATCCTAGAAACGCCCCTGCATTCAAGTAAGAATTTCATTGAACTCTGTACTTTGTACTTATGACACTGCTTTCTTAGCTCAGATTGAATTTTGAAGAGAATTGAGAAGAAACTTGAACTGCCATTACATTTTAAAGATGTTGTACACAGAGGCACACAATAGTGTTCAGAGTATTTTTCAGAGGGAAGTTGAACAACAGAATAGCACTCTAAACAAAGTAATAGTTTTACTTTTAGCTTCATTCTGACAGTAAGGGTTGTCTATAACTTTCTTTCTGATAGTGCTAATGTCTGTTGTTGATTATATTTAAGGGGGTTATAAGAGGCCACATTTTTCCAGCCTCACTAATGTGATTTTTTTTCAGTGCCTGACCTCAAAATGCTCTTCTGGATGAACGGGAGTGAAATAACAGAATAGCACTCTAAACAAAGGAATACTTTTACTTTTAGCTTCATTCTGACAGTAAGAGTCGTCTATGACTTTCATTCTGATAGTGCTAATGTCTGTTGTTGATTATATTTAAGGGGGTTATAAGAGGCCACATATTTCCAGCCTCACCATGTGATTTTTCTTCACTGCCTGACCTCAAAATGCTCTTCTGGATGAAGGGGCAAAAAGTCCCACAGATACACTCCAAAATCTTGTGGAAAGCCTTCCCAAAAGAGAGACAGCTGTTATAAGCGCTGTTGGGTGTCCGTCTGAATAAATGTGTCTGACATATTTCCCTTGCTTACCAGTCGGAGGTAAAGTAAAGAAAACTTTGTTCACTTTCGCTCGGTACTCTCACTGCAAAGTGGATGACGACTGGTTCTGTTGAATTAGGTATGCGTTTCATTACGAGTCAAACATGCTACAGCTCAGTTACCATTGTTAATGTTCACTGAAAAGGCGTCTTTATTAAACATAACTAAGGCTTTAGTCTTTATGTGTTTTAATACGACTGCTAAATGCAGTTTACTAGCTCCTGTTATAAATTAGATGCTATTAACCAGGTGCACTAGCAGGTTCAGCATTTTATGTTTCAGAAAAAAAACACTTTAGAAAACTCAGCATATAATGAATGTAATGGAATGGTTACAGATACGTACAGATACACAAAATGTTGGCGGGTCGTTCTTTCTCTTTGCGATGGACCTGAGCCTATATGCACTGGGCACATGGGGACCACTGCTGACCTAAGGATCTAATGCGTAGGTGTGGAGTCTCCTGGTTAAAAGCCCCAGTGCTCGTGTGGCTCAGGGTTCAAAAGTTGCTAAAGGTGGATTCTACCAGAGGTGGCTCTTTAAATACGCTTTAC